TTTTTTTTTTTTTTTATGATTGAGTTTGGGTATTGCAGAAAAGGGATTTGCTTGGATTCACATTTCAAATAGCATATTTGTCTGTCATTTATCTTGACAGATTTCTTTCAAGAAGATCCATTGATGTAAACTAATGCCTATTCTTCTATGAATTCCATTACTTTTCTTCAGGATCTTTATTAATTTTTCAATGTACTGTAGGCAGAAAAATACTGGCTGTGAGATTACTATCAATGACTTGTCTTTCATTGGCTGCCAAAATGGAAGAACGCGTCGTGCTAGCATTACCAGAGTTTTGTGTCGAAGAGTATAGTTTTGAGAGTAGTGTGATACAGAGAATGGGGCTTTTAGTACTGAATACATTGGAGTGGAAAATGGGACCAGTCACTCCTTTTGCTCTTACCCATTTCTTTTTAACAACGTTCTGCCAAGGTTCTCGAAAAAGAAATGCAATTTCAACAATTATGGAAGTTATTTTGGGTGCAAAAAGGTAGTCTAACTTCCCATTTCCAATAGAAAGAATTGTCTTAATTTTGTTTCAGATTTGATTAATATAAACTTGTAAAGTGACCATGGACTTAAATGTAGATGCGAAAATAATGTGCTATAAATCATCTATGACAGCGACACCAACCACATTGGTGGCATTGGATCCAAGATTAACAAGAGATGCTTTGGAGCTGAAAATCAGTCTTTTATCTTCAAGTGGTGTCCTTAAAATTGTGAGAAAAATTCTTTATAGGATTTCGAATAATTTCATCTTCTTCCCTTCAAAAATTGTGATTATGTTGTATGCTGATCGAAATGTTTCGGATTCCTTGGTGGCATTCGTTTCTGTTTTAGGAAGACGTTGTTTCATGTTATTTCTCGAATTTTGGAATTGGATATATTGAAGTTAAATAGGGGCATTATGTCTCCGAATTTATTGCCAAAATCAATTGCAAAAAGCTGAAGTTTTGGGAAGTTTGGTTACTACTTCTGCTGCTAGGGCTAAAAGAAAGAAGCTTACATTCAACGGAAATGACCATATATCTCACAAGAAGCGACATCACTGAAAAGTTTTACTACCAAAATTGATTCTGTGGATGAAATAAGACACATATATTTTGGTGTTGATTATGGGTGTCTGTTGAGCGAGAAGCAAAAGGGACTCAAAAAGAAGGGGGG